GCAGAAGCCCTCAGCACTTTAAGCTCCAATGCATTAGAGTATTTAGGGACGCTGGTGAACTTAAGCAGATGAGTAGCAACACTGACACAAGGCAGGACAGACTCCTTTTGGGAGATATGAAACACCACTTTATCGTGCCATTCCAATTATCTCCAACACTTATAGTAAGCCTCCAGTTATTCCACTTTTGTTACACAAATAAACTTTCAATTTATAAAATAGGTCACGGTAAATTTTAAGTCCTGGTCTAAAAACAGCAAGGCAACTGGAGAAATAAAACTGTATGTGATATACGGTGGTTTCACACAGATGACCTCATGGCATTTTTTTTATCGTAAACCCCCCCGTTCCTAATGACTGCATATCTGCATTCCCAGTTTTCGTATTTTAAAAATTAATAGATCATTGCTAGCATTTCTCAACAAGAAAAATGTCATAATGAAATATTAAAATTATAAACAGTCTCTATAGTTCCCCTCATCATGGTAGGCATATTTCTCTCCTAAGACAAACACTGCTATTCAACAAATCAAGTCACCCATGGTTTAAAAAAATACACATAAAATGAAGAATATGCAATTGAAGTGTTTGTATCCTACACATTACTGTGATTCATAGGTTTTATTTATTAAAAAAAATTCCCACAGGTGGGATTTCAGATTTTTTGCCATTCCCTGTGCTCATCTTCCAAAGTCCTAGCAAAATAAGAGCAAATCATACGAGCTCCTGATTAAACCAGGAAGCAAATCTGCATGCATGCAATTACAGTGTCTGCAAGGGCAGACGCAGATGACAGTAATTCATACTCTAAGAAATGGGCTTGTGTATTTGGCAGATTAACTGTTCTGTATTCCATTGCTATGAGGTATGGAAACTGTACTGTGAAACAACCATTACTCATTCCTTCAGCTCTAAGCACGTAGGTCTATCAAAAGCAAGCCAGTCTGGAGAGGGTGGGGGGTGAGGGCTGGAAAGAGAAGAGTCTACACGTTTCAGATTAACGCTTCTCTTGAATGGTTTCTTTTATTTCATTTCCCCTACTTTATAAATTAGCAAATACAGTAGGCCCAGAAGGGAAATGTGCAAGGGAAGAAGGAGAGAGGGGAGGGAAAGGGAAGAAGCAAAAGCAGCCAAAAACTCTCCAACTTGTTCATTAGGGGGTTTTGTGTTTGAACATCTGAATGAATCATGTGTCTGTTTTTCATTATTCTCCATATGTATTTGTTCTCTGCTTTGTTCATAGATTTCTGGCCATGTTGTCGTGAATGTGCTTATTTTGTTTTATATATTGTTCTATTACAGGGTGATTGTTACTTCTTCTCTGTCTCACTTAGCAGTTATGCCACCAACAAAGAGCAATCTGAAAATGAGAGGTTACGTCAAAAGGTTTCCCTAGTGAACTCCCTTGCAGCATATATGATTACTTTAGATCTGACTGCTTAATTCATACCAGAGAAAAATCCTCAGATAACACTGCTCCTTAGCATGATAGGAATGTGAAGGGTATCTTTTTAAAAATCTGAGGAATACTGGAGAATAACTTAAAGTCCAGTGCAGAGTGGTTTCCTCGTTTTTCAAAGAGGTAACCTAATACTTCTGGCTAAGCAGCAACTTATTTTAACAGATCTGCTGTTACATGGGGGGTTTGAAATAATTTCTTTGCTAAATTAAATATTTTCTACTTTCACCTTTGTTTTACACCTTGGTCAACACACAAATGACACTGAAATAAATTCATAAGTCACTAACCACGTGATAACTTCTATCATCTCCTTGAATTTAATCCACCCTACTTCACTGGATACATATCACAGGATGATGTGTTCACTTAAAAAGATAGTCTCATACTTGGCAGAAAGTGAATGAGACCCAGAAAACTGGAAAGGAGCAAACAAATAGCATGGGTTTTTTCTTAGTTGTTTTTTGGTTGTTGGGGTTTTTTTGGTGGGATTTTTTTTTTAAGGAATGGATGTAGACTCCAGTGTGTTAGAGATACTTTCAAATTCTGAAAAATCTTAGAGTAATTAGTCATATAAATCCATTCACAGACCCTCAAAGGTAACACATGATTAGTACAATGCAGCATAGACTGAGTAAGAGTAAATAATGTCATTATCATAATTTTGTCTAAAAGTATATAACGAGTGTTATAGATAGCTCAGTACTATATATTTTAGTTAAATCTTGCTTCTCTCTCATAACTTGAGCAGATGGGAGAAAAAAGGTCTAGCTGAAAAATGCTGTGATGTAGGTGTCAAACAACTAAGCAGATCCAATTTTAAGAAGTGTTCAATGGCTCACTGTTGTACTACCTGATATACTGAGAGAGTTTCCTCAAAAGTCTTCTGGTATTTTTCAGTCTTTTCCACATTACCTTGTCCAGTGGATTAAAGAAACCATTTATTAACTGTGAAGAGGATACTAAAGGGGTAAGTGCTGCAAGCACTCTGTAGGCTTAAGATTATTCTCAAATCTTAGTAAATTAAGCAATAGCCAAGAAAAAAATAGGACAAAATTCAGTACAGACAAATTAAAAGTTCTAGCTTTAGGAAGAAATAATCAACAACACAGAGCAGAGCACACAATATGGAATGCCTGGCTCGAAGCAGTGCTGGAGTAAAGAATAACAGAACTGGGGGTTGCAGAGAATCTCTTAGCATAAATCAGCACCATTGTTCTCATGCAACACCCTGTGCCTCACAAATGTATCTATATTTAAAATATGCAGCTATTTATATGTATACATCAACAAAGAGGAGAGTCACGTGATCACAGAGAAGACAAATGATATAACCTCTCCATGCTAGTTAAAATTACAAGATTTAGGGCATCTGAAATCCTATGCCCAGTTCCAGGGTCTTAAAGTAAGGAGCGAGCTAATTAGAGACAGACTAGCAAAGTGCAACATAATCAGAAATCTAAATAAATTCCCTTTAAGGAAAAAGTTAAAGGACTAGTGGTTAGTCTAAAGAAAAGATAAGGCAGTCTTCAAATATATATGTTTGCTGCAAAAAAGAAAAGGAATAAACTGCTCTGCATGTCCACTGGGGATAAGAAAAGAAGCAATAGACTTAAACTGCATCAAGAGAGATTCGGGTTAGACATTAGGAAATGCTTCATTAAAGTGAGAAGAGGGAGCGTTATCACAGACTGCCTGAGGAGCTGGAGGAATCTCCACCCCTGGAGGCCTTTGAGCGAAGGTTACAGAAATACCCGTCAGCAGTGGGTTAGAGTTGATCTTGCCCCAAGGCAGGTCCTGACCATTTCAGGTTGCTTCCACTTCGGGTTCCTGGAAAGCTTTTTTTTTTTTTTCAGCCTTACTAAAGAGAAAGGAAATGTACCCAGCATTTAAAGCAGTAAAACATCTATTCTTTTCATGCCATGAAGCATACTGTTAATAAATCCAATTATGTTTATGATCTTTTAATGGCATCACTTATGTCATAAAGACCCATTTTTGAAAATACAAATAGATATCTCTGCCCTACAGTGTAATACAACAGCAAGAAAGCAAATTTTTACAAAATTCCAACTCACTCTTATATGGCTCCTACTATGATAATCTCAAAGCTAACTACAATATGAAGAACACCAAATCCAACCATTTTTCTTTCTTAAAATTCTACCATTCATATTCTTCACAATATTTTTCACTTTGTGTTTCACATTTTGTATTTCACAAACAGATCCATTCCTTTCCTTGTTTACCACTGGCAATGAGAACAAAGGAAGTTCTGCTCACGAGGGTATTCCTTTATAATGCAATCCAAAAAAAAAGCAAGAAATCCATCAAAACTCAAACACAATCAGGTCTTGTTCCTGCTGTGATATTCAAAGAAATACAGACTGATGTTATCAGAATTGTGGCAGAACAGTGCCCCAAGGAAATGAAACACACATTCAGTCAAAAGCAAATGCATAGCAGTGCAACTTACGATGATGGCCCATGACTGACTGAGGTGGTAGAGCTTTCTAAGACTAGAATTGCAGTCTTCCAACTTACTTTTCTCCTGAGTAGCTAATGAATACTGTTTCTGACAGGCAATAGATAAAGTCCTACACTTCTACAAACTTCTAAAACAGCTCTGGCACAGATGGCAGGATTTTGCCCTATCTCATAATTTCCCGAAATGTCTTCTCTGCTGCTTCTCTGCACAACTTATCTGGGCACTCATGAGATATTCCTGAACTGCAATGCCTTTTCTTTTTACTAACTCATATAGAAATGCTATCCAGAATGTGCTTCTTATCAGAAGAACCCATTCTAGTAGATCTTATTACTCCAAAAGGATTCTGTACACCACTAGTGTAAAGTGAGTCACCTTAAAGCACAGCTTCTCCCCCATAGATTTGATGACACTGCAGACTCATAAAGCAGTAACAATTCTAGTCCTGAGATACTACTAGACATGTTAGCCTATATTTATCTCAGCAAATATAGCTATATGGACACACATTAAACTTTATATTTCACCAAAAAATGTTTTCATACATTCACAGAAAAATTAAGAACATAAAACTGAAAGAGGAATTATTTTTATATCTTGGTTTTGAAACTTGTAGATCTATTTGTGTCATAAAGAATATTTTCTTCTGCCATTAGCATAAGACAAGACTTCACAAAAATGTAAAAATTAGACCAGGTTTTCCTTGGGAATCTTTGCCCAAAAGTTTCTCAGCTTTATATAGGAAATCAATTTGCATCACTGATGATATCATTCAAATCAGACAGCACTATGTGGTTAGAAGGTAATTTACTCTTCTGCCGAAGCAATTTAATACTTGTTCTGATTTGTGATTTTCATTTTGTTTGTTAATGAAAAAAATTAATGAGCAATGTTACTGGAAGCACAACTCAAAGCTTTGGCGTTATTAAATATGTTTGTAATATAGTGTGCATTATGTTGATTGCACAGTTGGAACCAAAGCTTTGGCAGTCAAGCCACCAGTCAATCATTCAAACCGATAATGAACTTGCAGGGTGGACACCTTGTACGTACCTTTGCACTGATTTGTGTTTTTGTCAAGAATTGCCTTTGTGGATACAATTTTTCCATACCTATGGAGAAAACAAAAAACAGAAGTACATGTTATTATTTTCTAATAAAGTACATAGTGATTTTTACACGCATATAAGACATATACTAGGAAGATATCTAGTGCTCTGGGGGAAAAAAAAAAAAGACATAGAGCCAAACTATAACTCATAGGGTAAAACAGACCCTTGAGTTTTAGTACGGGACCAGAAAACACTTAAAATATCTCATGAAGAGGGAATAGCACCAGTGGGAAAGAATGGGAACACCCTGCCTAAGCATACTCTTCGATACCAGCAAAGATTTGAGTCAATTTTGTGCCTGTGAGTGACATGTAACCACTCAGCTTAAGATAAAGGGAACTGTCTCTCCATCTCTCTGTACTCTGTTTTAGTGACTGATGCAAAGTGAGACTTTCCATTTCACTGTTTTTCCTTTTCCTAAGAACCCACAAAAACATTTGTTTCCATTTGACTTTCATTTTTAGGAGGAAAAACATGCTTTGCTTTATTTTGTTTCAGTATGAAACCAGTGAGGAGGAGGAGGGAAAACTGACCAAAAGGCATTAACAAGTTGCGCAAACTAAGTGAGCCTCAATTCAGCCATCTGTTAGGAACCAAAGAAAGACATACAAGCCTTCCTCCCCGTCAGCCCCCTCCACGCCCTTTTTTTTGCTGGCTCTGTAGACCAGCAGGATCTCGTGCTCTGAAGGCAGGCATAACCCATTGTACACTGCACCATGACGTGTACATGGGCAGGTAGCTGTGAGTTTATTCTGCCATAGCTGGCTCCACTAGAACCAAATACATAACAGATTAATGTTAACCATGAGATCACATGCTTTTCTAACCTCAGGTGTTTTCCAGAATAGGTGCCTCTATACTCACTTATGTTCCACTTAATTTTATAATTTTTCATGGTAATACCTGAAGTTGATTTTGGCCTCTAAGATCTTAAAGCATGTCTTAAGAAGGCAAAGCTAAATTCTCTTGCAGTGTGATTTATGGCTGTTCAGTGGGCCAACTTACCCAGCAGGAAATTTGAACTGTGTGGTGCATCTTCATTTATTTGATTTATTTAGATTCAATATCAAATATATGAAAAACATGCAAAAACATGCCTATCTTGTACAGTAATGGGTCTCTGACAGATATATGGAAAAAGAATCCAACAAAAATCAGTGGCTAACCCACACCAACCTCAAATAAAACACAACCCCTACCTAAACTTCCGCCAACAAAAACTAACACCCAGCCCGCATTTCAGTCCAGCCACTCCTAATGAATTGATATGTTGTTTCATCCAAGTCACGTGAGAGCTAGAAGTTAACATTTCTTGCCAGCAGAGACAGGCATTGTGGTTCCACTGCTTCTATTACAGATTTCCCAGTTATTTTCTACATACTGTGATCCTGCAAACACTTAGTTACAGTGGAGATTTTACTCACAAAATTCTGTTTGGTTCAGGAGACCGTTTACCTCCCACATGCAAAGTTATGTGCACACCTTCACATTTGCAAAAACAGACATCAGAGTGGTAAGAGGCACCACAATAACAAACACTGTTATAGGCAATTAGCCATATGTTGGTGATTTAATGTACTGCTGCAAACCTTGAGTGATACCACAAGAAAGTAATTGGAATTAATTTGGACACTGTTTTACAAAATATTTCAAGGAATTATCCTACAGTAATCAGAACATCAGTTCTGATGAAAAATGTTCATTTGTGTGCTGCATGAAATTGGGAAGGTATTTTGTTCGTACAAATGTAGTCATATTTCTCCCATATGTCAAGAGTGGTATTAAGGTTTGTCTCCTCTCCAAAGTTGTTTGGCTTTCTGTTTGTCTGAGTTTAATTGTGATTTGATTCGCTCAAAAGTACAAAGAATATATTCCTCAATGGGAGTGCTCACAGAAATAATGATGAAGTACATCAAAAGAGTTACCCCTTGTTTTCTCATATTTAAATGGAAACTACTATAAAATTCAACAGCCTGCACACCTGTGTCCTACAAATTACTGATATGACTAATGTAAAAAAAAATACAAAGTATGGTCTCCTTGTTGTGAAAAAGTGTGAGCACCGCTTAATATCCTCCTGAGTTATGGTTCATGGAGGTACTGTTTCAAAGATTTTGAATCAAAACTTCTGTTCATAAAAGGATAAATATAGAATTGAGTTCATCTCAATGCCATATTACCAACCCTTCAACATAATGGCTGTATCGTTAAGGATAATCTACTGTATCACACTATCCAAGGAAGTAGACAAGAATCTGTGAGATGGTTACCTCAAGAATGTGTCTATTGAGCACCTGAAGTGAAATTGCTATGCAAAAGATTTTCAGACACTCTTCCTGAAGTGTTATCTAAATGCATAATAAGCACAAATAGAATTGTTTAACTACTTTTAGAAACCCACTCAATCATTTATATCCAATTATACTCTTAGTACTTTTCTATGTAATAATTTTCATGTAAAACCAGGTGGTCAGATTTTGAAAGACCTTCCATGTTAGGAGCAACTGCACAGACTAGGAATTCACCTCATGAAAGAAGGACCCATGCGGTGAGATAGTGACTAGATGTCTTCATTGATTCTCATAATACATAAGGACTGGCCAGATAATTATAAGACTTAAAAAATGAAAGTTTCGGAATGGAGAGTTAGTTGTGGAACTCATTGCCATAGCCCACATTGATGCCCCACAGAGCACACCACTATAAAAAGCTATTGTATGGCTTCTAGGATGGAAAATCTGTCATGAAATTAAAAGCCAAGACACATTTGTGGCCCTGGAAGTCACATACTACCAGGAACTGTGAGAAGATACCACAGTAACATCATCACATGTTGTCCCTCTTTTAACATCAGGATACCTACACAGCTGCTGAAACAAATTCCTATCTGACCCAGCCTCTACATTCTTACATTCCAAGATTAAATTGGGGGTGGAAATACCTTCTTACAAACATAAACATTTTTACTTTCTCGTGTATTTATCAGTTTAGGGTGAAACTCTTCAAGTCATCTGATACCCACTATTGAAAATACAAAAGTCACTTAAAAACTCTTCACTTACAAACAGCAGTAACTCACACCATGTCACACAGAAGGCAGAACTAAGGGAATAGCCCACAGTGCTGTGCAAAGAGAAAACAATCTCCCTGTTCAGTCCAGACTACAGAGTTATGTCAAAAATCACTCTTGAGAGCCCCATCCCATGGCACCCCACATTTTCAGGCTACTCAGCAGACTCAGGAAAGATGCAAGCAATGCAGAATGAGCCCTTAACGTACATCAAAGTTGCAGTATCAATAAATCATTTCAAGAGCTTTCAGGCAGGCGGTCGATGAGCACTTATACTGCAGACAAAGCTCAAACCCCATCATTTCCAGGAAGTTATTTGAAAACTCCTGTTAAAATGGACATAGTTCCTGAAGGAAATGCTTCAGCTGTGACTGATACCACTCAAAAAATGTGGTATCGCTTACCCAGTGCCCAAGACAACCTAAACAGATGGGAATTTGCTGTCTCACAGCAAACGAAGGATTTGAACCATTTCTCCTTCTGCCTATGGGGAGCTGGGCTACAGGGAAGGCAACTGGGCAAACAGGGTTAGGAGGCAAGTGACATTCAGCTGCTCAAGGCAGAGGAACCAGGTGCCACCCACTAGACTGCTGACAGGCCAAGGTGGGAAGCTGGCTGAGGGACAGCTGTGACCAGGAGATGCTGTGTCAAAGAAGGGATTTCCTGGGAGGCCAGGCTAGTTGGGACCACTCAAACTTTTCAGATTTTCCATGTTGTTATGGAAAACAAAAGCCTCTAGGATAGGCAACGGGTGCACAGACATGTACAAAATATTGCACTGGATTTTTCCCAATTCCAGTTACTGCTTGTATGCTTCAAATACATACGAAACTTGGAACTGAAACTCAAGTAACCGGTGTACAGAGTTCTTCCTTCCCTAGTTAAACCAGTGGAGTTATCATGTAATTTCCAAGTTCAGAGCTTAACAATTATATCCCCAGCATTCAGGTTCACTCAAGGCCTCAAGCATTGCTCAGAGCACAATCCACTCAACTGAAAAGTCTACACTTCTGGGCATTTAGGTATTATATGCTTTTATCTTGAGAACTTTTGCACTAGGATGAATTTGACCAGCAGTAATTGGATTTGGATAAGCAACTCCGAGGCTCTTTCATTCTTGTGAATTAATATCTAAATAGCATAACTGAGTTTATTTTGTTTAAAGCAGACTTTATTAGGCAAATCGTGGATTTGGGGAGAAAATAAAAAAGCCCACATTATGGAGACCTAAAGTACAGAAGGAATTCCTGCTGAATTTCTTGGAGAGTCACTTTTCCTATAATACACTGCCACATGAACTTATGACATCCAAATAAATATAAAAGGGAAATGACTCCAAAAAAAATTTTTGATTTGCCATGATAATTTCTGGTCATTTCATTTACTGCATGACATTTTAAATGCTTGTATTTTTTCCCAAAAATACAAGACATTACTATGCTATCTGACAAAGACTGACTTACTTTATTGACCTTTCCCTGTATATTATTTTTAATTTAAAAAAAAAATAAGTTCAGACAACACTCATATTCACACAAAAATACAACAACAAAATACATGTCATTCAGAGCACCTCTTCTTTTCACAGACTATGTGCATGGTTTGGGGAACAAACAGAAGGAGCTACTGGCAGCAAACCTATGGTGTACAGGACTGACAAGACTGTACTTCTGTTAAGAGTTTAACATCTGGCTGCTCTGTCTCCTCTACTTACTTTAGTCTGGCTGTGATGTTTACAAAAATCATTCCTTCACTAAACACAATACTTTTGATACTGCCTCTCACAATATCCTTCTCGACAAAGTCTCCAGCACACAGCTGGATAAACACATTATGCAGTGGGTGCTCATGGGTTGAGCACAGAGGGTAATAGTGAATGCGACAACATCAGACTGGAGACCTCTCACTAGTGGGGTTCCACAGGGCTCCA